AAAGACTTTGCTCAGATGTTTATCTGCTTTGAGCGTAGCAGGAAAAGAACAACAAGCAAAAAAAACCTCAGAATATGAGCGATGGTGTTAACTTAGATAAAAATGAAAGTTTTTGCCTAACTCTGAAAAACAGCTATAGATGTTCGAAAGTGAGAGGATGCAAATTTTTGTTTATAGGAGGCGACTTCCTCGGGATTTAATTTTATTTCAAAATGGAAAAAATTAAAAATGAACTTTTGTGAAAGGATGCAAGTTTGAATTCTGAAGCGTATAAATAGCTTTATTACCGACCCGATTCTTAAAGAACGTATACGAGTGGAAAACTCTCCGGTAATTCTCAAGCAAAATTACATGGTTTTTGTGACGTCACAACTCCGAAGAATAAGAGTTTTACGTCCTAGCATTTTGGGATTCTCTGCAGGCAATAGTCTTGATATTCGGGTGGCGAACAAGAGAAACGATAACGATGTGCCAGCGGCCCGTGGGCATTATACCACCTTGTCATACTATCGTTAAAATTACGGTATTTTCCACTTGTTTGTTGCCACTACAATGTCCTCATCTAAATAGAATGTACTACATAGCTCATGATTTGTTCGAACTTTTAAACATTCAGAAAACTACTGTTTAAGTTCAGGAAGCGTGTGGATTACTGACAGCCGCTGAGCTATCGTTTCTTTTGTCACACACCAGTGATATCTCGCAACTCTGTTCTCTAGAATTTCTGGAAGACTGTGATAAACTGATGATTTTTCCGGGGAAGACAGAATTTCTACATTCCAAAAAAACAGCTGATCTAAAAAGATGCCAAATTCGTACACCCTACGACGTAACTGTCACACAACATCGATGCTGATCTTTCCTGATGTGAAGGGCAGTGCAGCGATTTCGCCAACTATCTCCATCTATCACTCCTCGCAAGAAAACTTCGTCACAGCCCACTCAGCCTTCTTTTCTCTTTTTCTAAGCTCCTCTAACGATGGAGTATGAAAACTCACTAGCCACACGTTCCGCTTTCCAGGCACTCGCGAAAATGACGTCTACTAATGCAAGACCTTGAATGCTGAGATTGTTAAAGACGCTCTTGCCGGAATAGCGATTGCAGCATCAGAGATCAGCGTTGGTCAAGCGATGAGTAATCGCCGTAAATCTAGCCGCTGCTCTGATAAGAACTTAAGAATCATCTAGGACGCTGAAAACAGGCCCACTCACTGTACCTGAACTATGCTCTCGTGCGGTCATCGTGCAGAGCATTGAACGATTTGTGAAGGATGGTGAGGAGATTTTAAAGAGAACCAGTTCCAATAAATTGAAACGAGATAAGCCTTAGGAAACACGAATACGCTGAGGATGTGCTGCGTCAGTAGTAAGAAGAGCAATTTCACTACAACAGCTCCTTGCTAAAAGTAGTTTGCTTAGAAATACAATTGAAAATATAGAAAAAATGGAAATATAATAAAGTCCTATTTGGTTCCGAGAAATAAGCGATATAATCCTTTTGTCCTTTTTGCCAGTTTCGAACTGTTTTTTTTGTTTTATTAGTTCAGGTTCGCTTTATTTTTTTTGCTTTATCACTGTTGTCAGCCAGTTTTCTTCTTCTATTTTCCTTTCCTGTTCCATATGAGTAAGCTCATGTAATAAATATAAATAACATCTTGAACCACTTTCAGGCCTTTGACAACGGCATGAAGTCAAAACGTTAGGCCGAAGAAAGGCACGTTCCTAACAACCTGCGAGGCACAAGAACAACAGTACTACAATAGTAAATCAAAAATGCCCTGATTTTAAGATAGAAGGACTTGAAATTTGCTGAATACTCTAATAAAGGAAAAACAACAACCGAGCTGCAAGAAGAGATCACGCAAAGGAAAAACAAACCATAAAAATGCATCAAGGCCTCAGCAAACTAGTCGAATGGTCTAGATTATGTTTCTCGCTTCCCGAGCACGAGAGGTCCGGGGTTCGATCCCGGTTTGGCTCGAACTTGTCTGACGCTTAGGATGCTGAAAATACTGCGTGACATTACTAAATATTCATCATTGGACAGTGCGATCTACTCATTCTTACAACATTTCGGAACACACTGCACTCTCACCTATTTTCTCCCAGTGAAAGCCTATGTGATCAAATTCTTAGGAGATCCTATCGATTTCGGTTGAAAAGATCGCCAAAATCATTGAAGGCGTCGTAACGCGTAAATCAAAGAAACATTTCTTTTAAGCTTAACTTGCAATCCGAAAGTAGTTGATATTACTGCGACAAGAAAAACAGAAGGATAATGAATGGAACCGCTTTTGTGACAAAATTATATTCGCTACGAGTTGGAGGAACTAA